ATATTTAATAAAAGTTAATTTGATTTTTCTTTTTTTTTTTTTTTTGTTTAAAAAAAAAACATTTTAAATGCCATCAAGATAATTTTCTCGCTTTCTATGAAAACGTCAAGTAAATAATTACATTATTTTTCCACTTTTTAAATGGAAAACAATAATAATAATAATAATAATAATAATAATAATAATTTTTTTTAAAGAAAATTTTCCATTTAAAAAAATTTTTTTTTTTTACCAAAAAAATCGATTTGTAGTATCTTGAAAAAACAAATGAAAAAACGACAACGTAAATGATGTATTTATTTTTTAATAAATTTTTTAATAAATCGATTAATAATTAATAGTAATAATAATAATATTTATTTATACGTCACGTATTTTTAATAATAATAATAACTTTTAACGGAGTAAAATGTTTTTTAAATTATTTTTTTCGCAAGTTTTCATTTTGGTAATTTATGATGAGCCTTTTTTATAAAAATTATAAAGATGAAACCGGTGACGATAACCTTCAAACATCAATTAAAATTCTTATTTTTTTTTTTTTTTTTTTGAGCGTGGGATATTATTATTTATTAAAAAAAAAAAAGGCGAAAATATTTTTTTTTTAACAACGAGTTTTAAAAAATAAATTGCAACAATAAATGATTATTAAAGGGTGATGAGTGGGGGGCAAAAAAATCGAAAGTCGTAAGAATATGTATTGTATAAGAAATTTTTTTTTTTTTTTGTAATTATTATAATATGTCATCATGGTCATCGGGTAGTTTTTTTTTTTTTATTGTTTAAAAACGTAAAATTAAATGAAATTATTAAGTAAACAAAAGTTAATTGTTTATAAAAATATTTAAAAATGATGAACGTTTATAGTAATTAACATTTTTCTTGTTTTAAAAAAAAATCTAATATTATTATTATTATTATTATTATTATTATTATTATTATTATTAATCCCCTATTAGCAAGATTTTTATGAAATAAAATTTTCGAATCGTCGTCGTCGTCAAAAAAAAAATAATTAATAAAATATAAATAAAATACCTTAAAAAAAAAACTTGTCCTAAATTAAAACTGGTTGAAAATATTTAAAATAAATATATAATAAATAAGCGATTGATAAAACATTAAAAGGAAAATATTAGGTAAAATTATTATGAAAGTTTTAGCAAAAAAGGTAATAATGGGTATTTCCATTTTGATAATAAAAATATTAATAATAATGATGATAATATTTAAAAAAGATAAAAATAAAAATCTAAAGGAATGAAGTTTTTTATACATAATAAATACAATACAATAAAAATTTTAAATTAAAATTTTTTTTTTTTTTAATTAACTTAACGCAAATTTATTTAAAGAGAATCTTAAATTAAGTAATCGAACGAATGATTAATGAAAAATTTGTAAAAAGGAAGTTTTTTATTTTGTTATTAAGTAAGAGCATTCAAAATTTAAAACCATTCAAAATAAATACAATTATAATTGATTATCAAATCATTTGCATTTGAAATTTTTTCTTTTTTCATTTCTTAAATAAAAATGAATAATTTTTTATTTTGAAAAACAAAAGGAAAAGGAAATGAAAAAATATTAAGTCAGATATATCATTTCTTGGATTTTAGATAATTTTTAACAATTAAATTAAAAAAAACAATATGATTATCTCTATTGTTATATGTTTGTTTCTGATTTGTTAATTTAACAACAAGTGTCCCCCTTCACTTGTTTTATTAACTTATTAATATTATTAATATATTATTCTAATAATAAGTTTTATCTATTGCTTATACATAAATTTTGGTAAACATTTTTAAGGAAACATAATAATATGTTAGCATATTGTTATGTTTCGGTTAGTTTCTTATATTTAATGTTACAAGTTAATGCGAAATTTACTTACAGTTTGCTTCTTTCCGCCATGTTTAATACTTAACGTACACTTTTCACAAAACAAAAGTAAGGTTGTTTTCACTTGTTAACAAAACACTTAATCACTATCACTTACACTAAAACTAAAATTAAAATAACGGACAATAAAACAAAGATCAAAATAACACATTCTAAGATGGCAAACCACACTTTAGATAAATTTGGATCATTTTTACAATTCTCTTTAGAACGATTAACAATCTACATTAAAAAAAAAAGGAACAGTAAAGGAAACGGAAGAAAAAGTTTCAAAAGCTTCGCTCTTAGAGAAAATAAATTTGGTCTCTATGGCAACAGTGTTATTGTTTATAAACATTGAAAAATATAAAATTAAATATGGCGTTGTAATAATATATATACATATATACCATCTTTTTCCTTAATTATTTCTTATTTATATTATTTTCCTATATATTTATTATTATATTTATTTATTAAAAATTTTTTTTTTTTTAAAACATATAATCTGGGTATAAAAAAAAAATTTTATACGTCAATAATTCCTAATTGTTTTTTTTTTGTGGTAGAATTCAACTTTTGCAATACTAACGTTTCAAGTTTGTTTTGACATAATTATCATTTTTGGTTTATTATTATCATTATCATTATCATTATTTTTTTTTTTTTTGGATAAAAATGACAAAAATTTACATGAAATTTTTTATTTTTTATTTTATTTTACATATCTTGCGAAATATGGAATTAAAAATAAATACATCATAACTTTTGTAATAAATAAGGAAATTATTTTTTTTAATAAAGAAGAATAAATAATATTTGTTTAATTAATTATTATTAAATAACAAGAACAAAAAAAAAAGTTATAACATAAAATACTATTATAACTTTTCATGAATATTTTTTTAATTTTTTTGTTGTCATTTTTAATAGAAAATATTCATAATGAATTATTTATTTATTTATGTTGAGTTGATGAAAAGTAAATTTTTTTTTAATTAAATAAAAAAATATAAGAGTTGATAATTTGATAACAAGGATGAATTAATTGAACCTGTTTTGTTAAGTAAATTTTTTTTTTTTTTTTGTTATATTTATCAAGCAAACATTTATTATATATATATTTTTTCTTAAAAACTTGTCATAACTGCATTGTAACATTAGATTTATGTATATTTACTTAGATTTTATTAATTTATTTGAACAAAAAATAATTAACAATGAGATTTTCAATCATTCATAAAAATTATTAAATGTTCTTTGTAAGATGATGTTAATTATAAAATTGTATTGAAAATAAATAAATAAATAAATAGATTTTAAACAAATTGTATTTTGTTGATATTTTATGTAATATCATTGACATTGAAGGTTATCGGGTTGGTATTAACCCTTAATCATTTACAAAAAATAAAATGATATTATATAAGAGACAAGCTAGTAATAAAGGCCTTGTTAACTAAACTACTTTTTCAATTTATCAACTTCAATTTATTTTTTTAAAAAATTTATTCAAATAATTACATAAAACTTTCTTTTTAGTCTGTTTGTGATATATCCAAATAACAATAAAATTAAAAATTGAAGTTAAATAATTTATGAATTGTAATAGTGACACAAGGCTACATTAACAACATGTCATATATATATATTAATTATTATTAAATTTTATTAATTTTTCTAAAAAAAAAAAAAACTAAAAGGTTTTTTAATTATGCATTCAAAATAATATTTTAAAGTTAAAGTAGAATTAACATTTATTACTTGGTTAATTTCATAATTACTTGGGTTAGATATAACCGTGTAAATTAATGTGTACTTCAAGGGAAAATTTATATGAACTTATTATTTATTTTTAAGTCTTAAAAGATTTTTTAAATTATTTAATAATTTTAATAATTTTAAAAGAATTTTTTTTTTTACAGTTTGATAAAATATAATCAAATTAATGAGATGAATGAAAAAAATAAATTTAGACATTGAATATCAATACATTAAATGGTACTAAAAGAAAACAAGTAGAAATTTCTAGTATAAAGTAAGAAAAAGATGTTTGAAATTATTATTTTACAAGTTTTTTTTATTAATAGTTTATGTGTCCGGGACACAAAGGTAAAAATGGATTCTTATCATACATAATTACCATCCTCATTTTTTGATTTTTATTTTTCCTTGATATTAAAAAAATTTTAATAAAGGATTTTTCTAATTCAAGGGTTTTCACATCACGCATATTCGTTCGTTACTACTAGTACATTATGATAAAAAGTTTTTTTTTTCTCTCTTTTCTTGAATATTTTCAAACTTACTCTAAATATAAGGAAAATTATAAAAAAAAAATTTGTTTTTATTTAAATTATTTACCTGATTTACTCAAGGTTTTGTCGAAGAGACTGACTACCGGTTGAAACTTTTGTATAAACATTACTGAAAAAAAAAACTGCAAATTAATTAAATTTATACATTTAATAAAATATAATTGTGAAATAAATAAATAAAAAATACAATTTTAAATTATAAAAGTTAATTTCTTTTAGTAAATTAAAAAATTTAATTTCTTCAATTTTATTCATAGGATATAATAACAAACGTTTGGGGGGTGAATTTCCAAAAATAAAAAAAAAGAGAATTTTATTTTAAATTAAATATATTTTTATAAAATCGTTTTGCGACCAGAATAATTTTTTTTACCTTTTTTTTAAAGTTATTATAATAAAACTTATTGAAATAAATGCTTAAAATATTTTATAATAAATATTAAAAGCAGTTAATTTGAAAATTATACATAGAAATCTGGTCATAAATTTTTTTTATTCGAATTGAAAAATTGTATTTTCAATTAGCAAAGTATTTTTTCACTGCAAAGTATTTATTTATAAATAAATTTGAAAAACTTAAAATTTATAAATATGATGATAGTTATAAAGTTGAAAAATTTGTAAGTTAACATGTTTTTTTTTTTTTTTTACAAAATGTTCAACATTTTCATACTCGATTCAATGGTATCAATTTAAAATTTTTTTTTTTTTTTTTTTTTTTTCCATACAAAAATATTTAAAATATAAAAAAAGGGGGAAAATTTAAACTTGGATTTTATTTATAGTTTTTTTTTTTTTTTATGTTTGCCCATTTTGAGTTTTTTGCTCTTCGTTTTTGCTTTCTAATGAAAAAGGAGGTATTCTACAATCGAATGCATATCCATCTTCTCTTTCCATTCTAAATGTTCCCCTTAAATCATCAAATGAATATTTAAATTAATAAAATTAATAATTTAATGAAATTAATTAAAATAATGACATTGCAGTTAAACAAGATTATTTTCTTTTTATGTTCTTACCACATGTGACCACTTGGTGCTTGTAAACTCACATGACTGCTATACTGAAATGCAGGCAAGGTTTTTGATAAAACTGGTTCTTGACCAGCAACTCCTCTACCTCTTACAGTCTCTAATGTTCCTGATAAACTGAATATACGCCAATGTCTTTCCCTTAATTGAACAGTTAATTCTCCTAAATTTTCCAGTCTAATACAATACCTCCACTAAAAATTAAATAAAAAGTTTTAGATGACGATAAAAATAAATAAAAAAAAAAATAAAATATTTATAATTTACCCAATATACAGAAGTTGTCTGAGATTCTCTACAACCCATGTAAAAAGGAATCACAGTAACTCTCACATTTTCAGTAGTTTCTTTATGTACATCAGACAATTCTAACCAAGGGTGATTTTTTTTTTGCCACGCTCTAAGAGTTTCTTGAGCACCAAAAGGTGGATCTGTAAAAATTATTATCTTTTACAGTTTTATTCTTTACTTTTTACAGTTTTTTTTCTTCAAAGTTTTACAAACCTTTGTCTGGATAGTAAAGAAGAAATTTATCAAATAATTCATGATGAAGAGGTTGTTTTTCAGCTGTTGTATATGGTAAAACATCTTCGTGAGCTACATAATCTAACCCGGGAATTGCATATAAACTACGACTATTTTCTTGATTGCCTAAAAAAGTGACTGCTTCAGCTTGAGCTCTCTAAAAAGATTTATTTTACAATAGTTTAATAGCTTATTGTTTTATTATTCAGAAAAAAAAGTATATATAGTACTAAAAATATGAAAAATATGCTATGCATATAGTTAATGGTAATTTTTTTTAAAATTACTAATAGAAATATAATATTTATTCTACAGTGAAGGTCATGAATTAAAGACAATAAAGTATAAAAAATATATCTCACTATGTATGGACAGTCTCTTGAGTCAATCAATACTTGATAAAAGGTATGAGTTCTTCCTTTAACTTCCTTTCCGACATTCATTCCAACATTTCCATCGACATTTGAAACTTCTCTCTTATTAGGAACATCCCTATCATATACTTTTGCTAACCATGGAAATAAAATAACTCCCCTGTATCCAAATACTCTGTGCAAAAATAACTGTCCAGTGTCATATTTCCCAGCAGCTTTAGGTGTTTCTAATTTGCCAACTTCTGCTAACCTGTAATTGACAACATTACACGTTTAAAAATGATAAACTTTTTCATATATTTATAATTAAATGGAACTGTAAACATTTAAATACTTTGCACAAACGCTATTAAATTTTCAAAAAAAAGGAATTTACTATTTATGTTTTATTTACATAAGTCTAGTACAGGATAAATATAAAAATAATCTTTTCCATTTTAATTAATAAATACTTTTAAAAAATTAATTGTACACCTTGTATATTTTGAATTTTGAATGCAAAAAACTCTGATTGACTGCCCGAAACAACATTTTTTTATTGTTTTAGCTGCACAAATAATAGACTCCATTTCATGTTTTTCTTTCTTTTTTTTTTTACTTTTCCCACTACAACCAGTGTCATTAACGATTAGAAAAAGCTAATAATACACAAATGCCACGATTCGGCATTATAGTAATGCCGCTCCACAGAGGCCGACATAGTTTGCTTTGGCGTCTTGAAATGTAGTAGAATGAGTAACCGATTAGACGTTTAATTTTGTTTCAATAATTCATTTACAATGATATTTTTATTTTTATTAAATTAAACATAGAAATCTTCAAATAGAATCATGAGGCTGACAAAGCCGGGTTGGGTAAATCATGATGGTAATTTACTTGTTTAAAACAAAATTTAATTTTTTTTAAAGTAGTCTTTTTATTAAATATTATTTTTAAGTTTTAATGTACAAAATATTTTTACAAAAAAGAAAAAAAATTTTCAACATTAAGAAGTATTCATAGATGTATTAAAATCTTTTAAAACTAAAAATGCATAATGATTTCAATTTTAGGAAAACCGATTTTTTCGTTAGATATTCATCCTGATGGTAGTAGATTTGCAACCGGAGGGCAAGGAAAAGATTCCGGTAGAGTAACAATATGGAATTTAGGTCCTGTCATTTATCAAGAGTATGAAAAAAATGAAAATGTTCCCAAACTTCTTTGCCAATTGGATAATCATCTAAGTTGTGTGAATTGTGTCAGATGGAATCATTCTGGAAAATTTTTAGGTTTGTATAAAAATTCTTTATTTTTAACAAAGTACAACCTCTTATTTTATTTTCCTTATAGCTTCTGGTGGTGACGATAAGTTAATTATGATTTGGAAAAAAACTGGACAAACCAAACTTGATGAAAATAAAGTTATAGTAGGTGTTGAAATATGGAGATGTGTTGGTACTCTGACTGGACATAGTAATGATGTTTTAGATTTAGCATGGGCTCCCCATGACAGTTGCTTGGCTTCTTGCAGTGTTGATAATACCATTATTGTATGGAATATGGAAAAAATTCCAGGTAAAACTTTAAAGCATTTCAATAATCTAATTATTATTTACTTAATAAAACATTTACTTATGTTTCAAAATTGTATTATTATGTAGATATTGTAGCAAAACTTACTGGACACACAGGTTTGGTAAAAGGTGTCACTTGGGACCCAGTTGGGCAATATTTGGCATCACAATCAGATGACAAGTCTTTAAGAATTTGGAGAACAAAAGATTGGAAGCAACAAGCTTGCATAACAGAACCATTTAAAGAGGTTAAATTTTTTTCATTCCGTTTTACTTTTTTTTTGCAAAATTTTAAATGTAACTTATTTTATAGTGTGGAGACATGACTCATGTTTTAAGACTTAATTGGTCTCCAGATGGGCAATATTTAGTCTCGGCTCATGCATCCAATAGTGGAGGGCCCACAGCACAAATAATAGAAATAATTGAAAGACCTATAGATGTTAAAAAAAAATCATGGTCTTGTGAAATGGATTTTGTTGGTCATAGAAAAGCTGTCACTTGTATTGTTAGTAAATTTTTCAAATTTTAACTTTTAAACAATATAGAAAAATATATGTATATGTATATTGTTATTTAAAATTTTAGAGGTTTAATTCAAATTTGTTACAAAAAAAACCTGCTGGAGAAGGATCGAAACAAACAAAATACTGTGCCTTAGCAACTGGCAGTAGGGATTGTGCATTAGCTGTGTGGTGTACTGCTAAAAAAAGACCAATAGTTGTCATCAACAATATATTTTTAAAATCTGTAAATGAATTATATTTTTTAATTTAAAATATTTGTTACAACAGTGGTATTTAAGAGCAAAAATAATGAAAAAATGATTAAGGTTTTAGATTTATCATGGAGTAAAGATGGAATGCAACTAGTCGCTTGTTCATGGGATGGTTCTATTGCTCATTTAATGTTCAAACAAGAGGAATTGGGTATTATAGTTAGCGAGCAAGAAAAAGTAAAAATCATTTATTTATTTACTTTACTATAACTTTTTATTTGTAAAACATTTACTAATTTTTTAAAAATTTGATTATTTTAGCTAACCACCTTAGAATCTATGTACGGTAAATCATTTGCAACTAAACATCTAAATCAGACTAAAATTACTCCGATTATTGAAACTCCAGAACTTTTGGAATTCGTGCCTCCGTCTTTATCTTTACCCAACACTGCCAAAACGAATCAGCCTCCTAGTGGGAAAAAACAAGATCCGGTTGAAATAGAAAATAGCAAACAGTCTTCCATAAGCGACGTTCTTTTAAGAAGTAAACAAATTGAAACAAGGACGGCGGACGGAAAGAGAAGGGTTACACCAATAACTGTTCCTAGAGATCTCGCGTAAGCGTGTTAATTTACCTTCGTTTTATTTATTTATTTATTTATTTATAATAGCATTTAATAAATTTTAAAAATATTTATTTTAAGGGATTGTCAAACGACGACCACGTTTTCATCATCCAGCGAATTCAAAACTAAAATTATAATTGAGCAAAGGCCGGAAGTAGTCACGCCTAATGTTTCACCTGAAAAACAAAAGCAACAGTCAACTGGGATTGTTTCCGTACCGAATCCCTCCATAGCACACTCAACACCTTTTGAAAATCATGATGTCCCTTCCAAAAATAGTGGCATGTACGTAATGCGTATGAAACAATTATTTTATGATAATTAATACTGTTTACGTATTAAATTACGATATATTTTAGATCGGCCAAAGTGTTAAAAAGACCAACTTTACTACCAGCAGATGTTTCTTCAAAAAAAATTGGATCTTCAGAGCAATTGACTCAACAAAGTTTTACTAAATGTACCAATTGCGAAATTTATTGGAACCGTTAAATATCGGTCCTGGGACTTTTATCAAAATAGATGGTTGCGATAGTATTATCGAAGTTGAAAATTCAAAATCTTTGGAGAGGCCTTGTCGAATGCGACGACTGAAGAAAGTGGGACCCGACAAAGAAATTGAATGGGAATTTGTTTACGGTATTTAATAATTTACGGTACAATAATAATTTTTTTTTTTTTCAATATTTTTTCAAAAATTGTAATTTTTTTTTTTTTTGTTTTCCAATTTAGGACAACCGATCTCTTGTGTAAAAAGCAATAATTCTATCACAGTATTAGCTTGTATGGATTGTACTCTTCACGTGATTTCAACAGACACGGGAAAATCAAAAGCTTTACCAATAAAATTACCAGGATTGTTATCATGTATAGCACTGACAAAAAATAATTTAGTATGCGCTGTAACTTCTCGGGGATATTTATTCGTTTGGGATTTTAATGTTCATAAACTATTACTTCAAAATTTTACTCTCAGACATACTCTTTTATGCGAATCAGGTATTTTTTTTTTTTTTAAATCTTTTAACAATTTAAATTGGATTGGTTTTGGTTTTTTTTTTTTCTCATTAATATTTGTTATCCATTTTAGATGAATTATCGTCCATATCAAGTTGCGAAGTAACTGAAGATGGTATTCCACTGATTACTCTCTCCTGTGGTAAGTGTTACTGTTACAATAACGATTTAGGTTGGCTTTTATTGAGCGACACAACATCGGTGTTGTGGAAAGTTAGTCATCAAGATGTTCTCGTTCGAAACGCGACGACATTAGCCGATACAAAACTTCCACTAAAATCCATACAATCACAAATCAAAGGGTGAATATTATTATAATTTTGATGATTCATTAAAAATTTACTTTTTTTTATTATAATGATTTTGTAATTTTTTTTTTAAATTCAATATTCAGGTCTACTTCGTTGGTTAACAGCAGAGTTCCCCTTGTCAAAAATTTACCGGTTCAACTTTGCACGGCAGCATTTTTACAGCAGCAAATGAATGCGGCAATATGTTTGATTTATATATAAAAAATGTAAAATTGTTTTTTTTTTCATTTAGGTTTTACGCTCAAGAAGGTAACGATCGTTTTTTTTTTTTTTTTTTAAAAAAAGACAATTATTAAAAGAATCATTATCAGCAATTGTACAAAATGTCGTTTGTCAAAGGCTTTACGTGGAATTTAACGAACAATTAAACAGTATTTCTAATTCAATGGAAACATAGGTAAATGTCATTACAATTTTTTTTTTTTTAATTGTAAATTAAAGTCATTAAATTGAATTTTATTATTATTATTATTATTATTATTCAAACCATATATGCTTTGAAATTTTTGATATTTTTGTTTAATTTTCACAAAAAAAAAAAAAAAAAAAAAAAAAAAAAAATTACCTTTAGTATATTTATTGAGGGAATGCACTTGGAAACAGTACTAACTTGTTCCTCGTTCAAGCTAAAAATAAATGTAGGGAATTAATTTTTTTTTTTATTTAATTTTTTTTTTTTTTTTTTTTTTTTTTTTTTTAAATTTAAACCGG